TTTCTTATTTTAATATGAAGAAGGCATGTGATCATATAAGTGCGCACATGCTTTTCAAGCTGAATTTTTTACTCTGGCCCCGATCTCAGTTCTCGTGAGGTTTTCATGGGTCCTGATCATTTTTACTTAGAACCCCGACCATATTTACTTAGTAAATTTCGAGATATTACAGTATTAGCATACTGATTATCCTTAACGTGCACTTATAAACCTATATTAGTATAAAATTGTTTGTTCTAAACGAAAAAATCAGGTTCTAAATAATATATGAAAATCAGATCGATTATTAATCCAATTGATCAACTCAAACTAAAATTTCTTATCAATAATATTCTATCAAACTTTTAAAAAAGAAGATGCAAAATTAAAAGGAGAATCTTGAATAGATAGTAAATAAAATTTGAAATGAACGTGCAAAGAATCCTTTTCATGAAACAAATCTAACCGATACTCTGGAGCAATTTTTTGATATACTTTCAAATATATATTGAGTTCACGTAATAGCACTTACCCTTTACGTATGCACGCGAATTTTATTTTTTCATGGATAACAGGAAAAAGATTACACAAGTTGACGAAACATATAATGACGTATTAGATACTAACCATAAAATCAGCAAATTGAATAGCAAAGAGTGGTGTAATCAGGTTTGTATATAAAAAAATTTGATCTCTATTTCTTTCAAACGTAACTTTCAATTTTTCTTCTTCAGCTATCTTAAATATACCTTTATTTCTTTTTTCAAAAAAAAATAGTTCTTCTAAACTCAAGTTATCTTTCCAAAAAAAAAATGACATCATCTGAAAGCACCGATAACGTTCCAATATGTGTATCTTGTACATCCTTAAAATCTCAAAATGAATTTAAAGATATCCTGCTTTTCAAATATCACAAAATCTCTCAAGCTCAAGATGAACTTATCCAAGCTCAAAGGAACTTGATCAAAGACTTATTAAAAAATCGATGTACTACTAATTTTGACTTTAGTTATGCTACGCCGATGATCGGTGAATTGGACTATTATAATGAAATTAACTATGTTAAGTCTATGAGCAATGATATTCAAAGTTTGTTTTTTTAAAGAGCAAAGATTTTTTCTTGTAGCAGTTTATTCCGTAAATTTCAAAGTTGATGGTTTTTTTTAATATATCAGAGAAAACAACGCCTCAGGCATCCGGTTCAAATGATTGGTGTAGAATTTATATCGGTGCAGTTACAGATGATATTGATGAAGGGACTTTACAACAATGTCTTGAACGTGCTTTTGGACAAGTTTCTTGGCTAGAAATTGTCCGTGCTAGGGTATGAATTTAAGAATAAGTAAATTCTCTGTTCTCTTTTAGAGAAGGTAACTCCAAAATATCACGTAACCATTCGCCTGGTAACATAATATTTGTATTATTAATCAAATCATGCAACATTTAGGGACTATCTATTCTAAAAGAGATTGAAATTCCTTCACAAGTGCTTTCAAAATTATTATTGATACCAAAGATTTTGTTTGTTTTTTTTATTAATAATTCATAAATAGAATTGCGCATTTGCAGATTTTTGGTATGCGGAGTCATTTCACCGTGCACTTGAACAAGGATATATTTACTTGAATAATGGTTCACGCGCAAAAATCAAAATGGCCACCAAGCCTGTCAAAAGATTTAATGGATGTAAATAATCTTTTTAATATGCAAATAAAATGTCATTCTAAGAAGTTCCCTTTTTAATGCTTTATTTAATATGCCTTACAAATGCTTTTTGAAGATTCTGCTATTTGCTTTTAATGATTTTATGCTAGCTTGCTGTATTTGTATTTGTGCTATATTTCGCTTCCTTTATTTAATTATTTGCTAATTATAAAACATTTGTGAATCACTGATATGAAACTTTAATTTAATAATCTCATCTTTCCCAAATAATTTGGTGTTAAATCAAATACCACGATTTCATTAACAGCCTTTATTTTAGCGAACCATGTAATGTTTTAATCTTACAGTATTAATTAATTAAGAGAAGACATTAATTAGCTTACAGGTGAAAATCAAATAACTCTCCTTTAGTCTTATCGAATTTTATAAATTAATTTATCAAATAAAATTTATAAAACTTATTCGAATTTTTTCTCTATATTACCACCATAATTTAAGTTTCACATTTGCAAATAAAGAAAACCTACATAGGTTGACTATCTGACCTTTTCTTTTACGTTCTCTCTTACACTCGATATTACAAAAAATCATATGAATGAATAAGCGAATTAAATTGAATGCAATATAGATGAGAATATATATGTGTGTATGAAAAATATTCAAATTTTGGATATTCAAGACTAGTCTACCAAAAATGCTATTGAATTATTTCTTCCAAATGCTGTTGAAAATAGTTATATAGCACTTCTAAAGCATTATCACCCAATCCCAAAAATATCACGTTCTGACAAATCTAAAATATCAAAAAGTATGATGATAGTGGTAAAAGGGAATTAATATCATGGAACGTGAGAAAAAAAAATACCTGTTCAAAGCTTCTTGGCGTTACTGTTTTCAACCATGCATCATCATCATGATTGTACAGCCAGATCATAATTGGTTCAATAGTAGAAACAGAAGGAACCGGCATAGTAATCCTTGAAGCATATCGACCACAAGGATGCGGACGAAAAAATATTTGTGTTGACATATAATGAAAAATTTTTGAAAACATCTCACTTTGGGGTGAAAGATATTGTCCTTGTACTACGATGTCTAATGATACAAGTTGTTTTTGTTCAGTAGTTGGTTGTTGATTTGGTGAAGGTGATTTTTGTTCAGAAATTTTTGAGGAGGATGATATATTTGAACTGTTTACCAAATGTTCATTAATTAATTCATCAATAACTTCACCAGGTTCGACAATTTCACAATTATTTGGTTCAACATTCCATATTGGGCGATGATCTGGAAGTGAATGTTTACGATTCCATTCACTAAAACTCATCATGCGTAAGATCGTACATTTTGTAAATACGTGTGGTCCTAATAAGGTCATTTGACTAAGAAGCTGGTAAAATGTTGACATAGCAAAATCTGTAGGGAAATCAACCTCGATGACATCGCTTATACGATCACTTGGTAGATGTGGCATTCCATTCATGATAGATTGTACAAATGTTGACCAAAGCCAATTGATGGTTGAACATTCTAATTGTTGGTATATTGGTTCTTCATATAAAGATGGTATTTGATTTACTTTTTCAATAAATGGAGTGAACAGTGCATTAGGAGGGGAATCTATCGACGCACCATATTCATCAAACATCTCAAAGTCATTCTGTAAAAATGTATCCGCATCACCTAAAAATCGTTCCCAGTATTCAGGTGTATCTAAGATAGTTATATTTTCATGAGAATTAATAGATAATTCCGTTGAATATTGCTGTTCTATCACCTCGTCGTTCACTATCTTGTACAAAACTGATTTTTAGTATATGCCGCAGTAAAAAGAAGGTTGAATGATTAAGGTAACATTCGAAGAATTATACCTACCGTTGCTTTGTTGTTTTCCCTGGTTTTTATATACATGATTGACTGTATTCTGGTCAATCGGGCAAGGTGATTGATGAAGTGGAAAGACCATGAAGAACTTTATTCCTGTATTGTTCCAAGAAAAAATATCTTTAAATAACGAAAAGACAAGATAAAATAAAATAAATAAAATAAAAAAACTATAATTAAAAATGAATGTTTGTGTATATTTGGTATGAATAAAATTCTGCGAAACAATACTAAAAACTTTTAATGAGACAATTAAAACATCGAGAATCAGATCGTGTAAAAAATTGGATGGAATAAACTGACAAGGAAAGAATCCGCGAGCCGATGCATCATAAAATATTACGTGATGTGATCAATGCAAAGTATTATTATAAACTACTAATTATTTATGCTGCGTGTGATTGACTGATTTTGCTGTGACGTTTAGAGATCATTTATCATCATTGCAGTATTATATTAATATATAAAAATTACGTAATTTGAGAATTTTGATTGTGAAGTTGATGGTATGTAAAGGTATGAAGCTTCATTATCATCTGTGATACACTTGTGATAAGCTATTCAAACTCGGTCATTCATATGTAGACTATTTAAATTTATGATGAGTTATCTTGATCGAATTTAACAGTAATACTACGCTCCTAATAGATGTTTGAACATCATCTACACACTGTTTTAATACCAATAATAATTAATCATGAAATAAATTTTACGCGTAAGTTTTTTGCTTAGAAATACGCTTTTTTTATTTTATTTAATTTTATATCATTTAAATTTTAAACCATACAAAGGTAGTATTCGGTTTTCGTATAATTTAGCAGAATCAATTTATTTAGTAAGTGTACATTATTGGACAGACGACAAAAAATAACAGCAAATTGTTTTTTTTGTCGGAATTAATGTCACTCCATGT